CATACAATAACACTATAACAAAAAATATATAAAAGAAAAAATCATAATCCTATAATTCTGTTGACAAGCAGTTTGGAATTTACTGTCAGGTATTGCAAATAACTGTCCATAAGGCCTCAGACCACAATTAATTTCACTATATGTTCTATATAAACATTAAACCCTGTGGCAATTTTACTAACTCTCCAATCAAATTAAAGTCACTTGTGCTTACAGTATCATCCAAGATAAATAATTCCAGCTATAGCAAACTAGGGGTCATTCATCATTTTTTCACAGCATTTCAGTCCAAAATATATCAGTCTGACAGTTTTCAGTAATTAGCCGGAACCATGTGAATTCTGTCATGTAAAAAAACACTAAAAAATACTTACTCACATAAAATCTGGATCAAAATTGGCATTTACCAACTATTTGAAATGAATTCTGTCAGAAAATGTCCTTTTTTCTATCTCTTTCATTCAATTATTCATTTATATCTGGCATTAAACACAGGCACTCTTTTATGCGGATTTACTTCCTTATTGTGGTCAACGAAAGGCAAATAACTGTGGACTGATTCCTATTTACTCAAAAATGTTCATCTGATCTTAATGAAATTTGGCATACATCATTCCTAGGCTATCTCATATTATTCTGGAAAGTTTCTAGTCTTAATTACATATACTGATGAATTCACAGCCTGTTATGTTCCATATGTATTATAAGCCCTGAAGCCAGGCCGCAGCTTATCAAATTAAAAGTACTCTAAAACTAAAATTGCTATAAATTTTTATTACTTAGATCCAAATTTAGCCATATTACATAATACTATAACTGCATTACATAATTTTTGTAAATTCTCATTTTGTCAAATCGTTTATTTCTTGAAAGGCATGCATTTTACCTTTAAAATGATGTTTCATTTATTATCATGAGCCAACTGGTTCAAAAGTTATGTCCAGCAGAAAAGTGCCACTGCCTAATAATTACCTCCCCAGGTGGCTGCTCAGTCAATGTGGTCCAATGCACAGCATTCCACAGACTGTTACCCCAGGTACTAATTACCACCCAGGAATGCCAAAGTCTGGGTCCCTCTGGGTGATTCTTGAAAACCACCTTTGAAGAAATTCCAGAAATTCCATTTATTATATAAATATGAGCCCAGTTCCTGACTCTTTATCAAAAAGCAACTTACCTTCATACTATACACAACTGCTGTACAATTATGTGAGGCGACCGAAAGAAGAAATTAGCTTGGTTCAAGCAAGGGCACTCACCATGGAATAAAGGCTTGAAGTTTGACAACTCTTGTCATGTAGATACTGAGCCTAAGAGATCTATCACCAGACTGACTGTAGATGAATTTCCAGTGACATCCAGGCCTACTGCAGATGGTAGTGAGCTCTCAGGAAATGCCATGCTGCTGCGACCAAGTGCTTCTGCGACTTCATCTACAATGAAAAAAATTGACGATAAAAATTCTTGTTCGGGCATGAGAATTGTAGACAGTGAAGAGATGTCAGGGGCTTTCAATAACGCATACAGAATTCATCGGCAGGAGGCAAATGAATGTGAGCAGCCTAACTTTCATGTGGCCGAGGAAAGAAAAGTTGGTCTCTGCTGGAAAGTTTCATTAAAGTGTGACAACTGCAGCTTTATCACACCATTTTACAAGCTCTATAAAGAGGTTTCATCATCAAAAAGGGGTCCAAATGCCGCAACAGCAAATGTGAGTCTTGCTGTAGGCCTTCAAGACACACCAATAGGGAATACAAAATGCCGCTACTTACTGACAAGTATTGACATCCCACCTCCAGCAAGAAGCAGCATGCAGAGAACATCAAACACTGTGGGCAGTGCGATAAAACAACTTAATGATGATGACATGTCAGAGAAGATCAACAAAGTAAAGGAGATCAACCGAAAACGAGGCAATCCTGAGAATGCTATCAACATTGCTCTGGATGGACGTTACAATTCAAGCACTATCGCAAGCCGTAAGAAGGCAGGCCAGAATGCTTCGCAGTCTATTGCCATAGCCTGTGAGACAATTACAGAGAAACAATACATTATAGCTGCTGCAGTCCAGAATAAGCTTTGCTGGACAGGTGCCTGGCTTCGCGGAAAAGGATATGATGTTACATGCCCAGGTGGGCATGCTGGCTGTACAGCAAATACTTACCGGCATGCACCACTTTCTGAATATGAACTTGGGAAATCAATTGGAGAGACATTGAATGCTGAAAGTGCCTTTGTAAGATACGTGACAACAGATGGTGACTCTAGATCAGCTGCCGGTGTTTCCGAGGCCATGCGATTGCTTGACCCTATGTGGAAGGTGGAGCGCCAGGCAGACCCAACTCATCTTGGCCAAGCACAGTTCCGGTGCTGTTATAAAGCTCACTTCAGTAATGGTATGTTCCCAAGTGCAAAGACCAGAGACCAAAGGCATGAACAACAGAAGGCATTAAGCCAGGACATAAAGGCTAGATGTAACTTTATACTAAAAGAGCTTATGAGAATTCATACTGGAGATATGAATACTATAAAAAAATATTTACCTCGTGTTCTGGATGCTACAGTGAGCTGTTATGCTGGGGACTGTTCTAAGTGTAGACGCTACTCATACGTGTGTTCTGGTGGTGTAACAAACAACTGGTGGAACCGCTCCATGTTCCTCAGCAGCCATAGAATAACAAACTTGTGCCTACAAGAGAATGACAAACAATTAATTTTTGACATAGTTAAAATGAAAATAAGTGTGAGCGCTATCGAACAGATGAAATTGGGCACCAGCACGCAGAAATGTGAAGCGGTGAATCGATCTATTAGTGTGTCGCTACCAAAAAATAATGATTTCGCACGGAATATTCATGGACGCCTCAGTTCTACCATTCACCGCTTAAATAACGGTGTTGCGGACAGCGCTGAGAAGAAATTGGGGTGCCTTGGGATTCGTCTCTCTGAGAAAGCAGCTAATAGCCTACATCAAATGCAAAGAGAAGAAACATATCAGAGACAGTATTCAAAAAAACCTGAAACAGTTAAACGCAAACTTTTATCAAAGGGTAGACAACTCCATGAACATCTGAAATACAAGAAGACACACTCTACAAAGTCAGATTATAGGAAAGGTCAGCTGGATCCAACACCAACAACATCCAAGGTAGGCAACAGCGACCATACTAACTCAGAAAATCTATAAATTATCTCCCTTGATATTAACAGATAAACAAAAAAACAGTGTTTCTTCAGTGGGGAATAAATATTCGGTTGCGCACGACAAAACCAGCTTAAACAAATGTGCTGTCTGTGTACAAACCTTAAATTCAAACTTAACAAATAGTTTACTTAAAAAATGACGGACTATTCCTTTTAAAGCAAATTTCATATTTCATTACCGTATCATTCTACATTACCTGCATGATGTTTTGGTATCATCTCTGCTGTTATTTTACAGTGTGAAATAAATGTAATATAAATTAAATCACAGGCTTTTAGCATTTCTTTGCAATGACAGAGTGCTTTAAGTAAAATTTCACAAGTTTTCATGGGTTATGGCTGTTTATAAGCAATTATTTAAAGTCTAGCACATGTGAACTGACCAATTTTACTTAAAATACACTGTTATTGCTGAACAAGTAAAAAGAATGGGAGCAGAAACATACTTGTAGGATTATAATAGGAGTCCTTTAAATGTAGGACAATATAAGGAAATATGCAATAAAATAAAATAATAAAGATTAAATGAAAGGACAAGTATAAGCACTCACCAACCTTTATCCCGAGGCCATCAACACAGGCCATTAACACCTTAAATATGTCTCTTCAACAAAGCGATTACTTACCTCAAACAAATATACAGTCTCGGTATACCCCATGGCCACAGCAAATGGCCCGGTTCACACACTTAAGCCTTTCGGTATTGATGGAATGGGGCTCAAGGCTCAAATGGTAAGCACTGACACACAGTGGCACGTGGCATAGGTGCGAGACCTCTAAATGTGGTTCAATATACAGAATTTTATTGTGAACCAGGTATAGATGTCTATGAACATGCATAGTGTGCCACTGTGCATCAGGAAACTTGGCATTAATAACACCATAGCCCACTGGTCCTTTTTTTATACAGCCCTGCCATATCACACAGCCCTGTCTGTTTAGCACAGATTTTTCATTTATTTTTTCTGAATACTTTTTAAAAAATGCTTCCATTTTAACTTCTATTGAAAGGGAGGCTGTAACCTGTACAGGTAATGACCTCTTGGCTATTTTGGCTATAAGTAGCTTGTTGAGATTTTTTTTATAAATGTATATATTATTATATAATATTACATAATACAAAGAAAATAAAAGCATTTGTGTAATTTAATTACAAAATCAGATTTATACATCAATTATCTGCTTCATGACCAAGTTTCATTAAAATTGCTCTAAAAATGATAAAGTTACTACCTGTCAAACAGATTTACTCCATGTAAAAACAAGCTTCTAATCAGGCCTCAGACCACAATTAATGTCACTATATGTTCTATATAAACATTTAACCCTATTGCAATTTTACTAACTCTCCAATCAAATCAAAGTCACTTGTCCAAGATAAATAATTCCAGCTATAGCAAACTAGGGGTCATTCATCATTTTTTCACAGCATTTCAGTCCAAAATATATTAGTCTGACAGTTTTCAGTAATTAGCCGGAACCATGTGAATTCTGTCATGTAGAAAAACACTAAAAAAAAATACTTACTCACATAAAATCTGGATCAAAATTGGCATTTACCAACTATATGAAATGAATTCTGTCAGAAAATGTCCTTTTTTCTATCTCTTTCATTCAATTATATCTGGCATTAAACACAGGTACTCTTTTATGCGGATTTACTTCCTTATTGTGGTCAACGAAAGGCAAATAACTGTGGACTTATTCCATAACTATGTGTGTATGAATGTATAAATCATATGACAAAATACTCCTAACAATTTATTAACATGAACATCATTTTTATTTTTTATTGCTTAATGATAGTAAAACATAATGGGCATTGCCATAACAATAAATTCTCTACCGAAAATGAGAGTATTGAAAATACTGTATTTGCTGGTGCAATTGCTTAGATAGTTTACCTTGTCCTTGTTCAAACCAACATATGTATGGTGAGATTTATTGCACATCGAATAGCAAAGACCAGGAGAATTTCTAGATACCGGTAACAATATTGTGAGTTTTGCATTGTTTACAAAGCCACATTCTGAAATTCGCATTAACCCATTGTTATACTCTGTATTTATCAAGAAAATCTCACTTAAATCAATACCTCCTTCGAGTATAATTCTTTATTAAGAACAACTTTATTACAACCAAATATTCTGCATCAAAATATAGTATAATAGTAGTTTGCCACGTTTTTCCCTTCTTTCTCCTAACCTTATGTGAATTATAATGTAACTTGCTGAAAGTTAATAACCTAAAAAGCCGATCATTAATTTATGAAAACAAAATTGACATCAGCTTTATAAAAGTCATATATTTTTACAAAATGTCATTTTAAATGGATGTATTTATATATTTATATTAGATTGCTCTAGTGTGCTATTTTTGTCAGATAAAATTTATACTTACCAATATACGCAAATGCTGTCTCTTTTTTATAATATCCAACCCACGCTTCCTCATTATCATTTAGGTCCGTTGGTATATTTACAATGAATGTTGAATTGTTCACTTGTATTTTGGGTGTTGCAAAGTTACCTCTACTATTTGCATCATGCCATGTACTGTTTTCATTTGAGAGAATATCAGCTGAAACTATGAGAAAAACTTTGTTTTGATTAGTTCTTAACTGATCTATACTAAAATATGTTGCTGCTGATTCCTAAAATAATTTTTTCTCGTCTTCGAAGATATGGAAGAGCAGCATCATGACAGTATGCTATAATGTTATAAAAGTTTTACCTACCTTAAGGGTTAACTTAATGTTCATCGGTGTAAGTACTTGCATGAACTACAGACTGAGAGCAAGCGCATACTTTCATTACTCACTTTTCAGTGTTTTGAGTTTTGATATTGTAAGTTATGGTGAAAAGGCACTGTGTCGTCTGAGATATGAGATTTAAGATTTAAATTTAATGTCCTGTAATTTTGACATTACGTGCGTATATTTTTATCAATGTCTATAATAATATTTGTATTATACGACATGATGTCTAGGTATAAATCGATGTAACGATATCATTTTATGAATAAAGTACTGTTTCAGATTATTAAATAGAAAGTATTTTGTAATTACGTGTTGTACACGTTTAATTATAAGTAACTGCCTTTTAAAGGTATTAACGCTCTCTATGATAGATGTTGACTTAGATGTCTCAAATTTAAAAAAAAACAAAAAAACAAAGTGTTCAAAAGAGAAAAATTACCAGTACAAGCAACACTCAATAGATAAATCCAACATAATCCAGATTTGAGTGACATTTTAAAACTTTGAAACAAGGATTCAAATTACATCGTAAGTTGATTTCTTCCTGATTTGAATGAATAAAGCATGCTCAGATATGAAAAGGAATATTTGAAAAGCCAAAGTGAGACAACATTTTGTTGATTTAAAATACTTCCGCGTATTTGAAAAGTTTATGAGTGGCTATAAAAGGATGTATATTATGTCGGTGTAGGGAACAACTTGTTGCCTTTATTTAATTATGCATTTGTAAATATCATACACTTCATAGAGACAGTATGGTTATAAGAATTTTGCAATAAATGTACCTTGCGATTACTGAGCAGCAAGATGACAATGTTATATTAATATCAACATGATATTATACGAGTGGCATACATGTTTATATTCAAAACGAAATAAGTTTGTTTATCTATGATCGCTGTTTTTAACTACCTTTAATAGTAGAAAGACGACTGTGCGAGCAAGGGCCACTCCAAAACAAAAATGAGATGACAGTCAATCAAAAGAATATATTAATGCAGCATTTTAACAAGACAACAGCCAATGTACAGATAAATAACAAAAACTCGACTTGTTGTCGTCCTAGCAAATGTTTGTGTGCAAATAAAATTTGAGATTACAAAATGAGAAGAAAGAGAATCCTGTTTTACCTTTTTAAATGTCGCAACTTAACACTTTCAACAAGGACAAAAAGTTGGTTTATGAACAAAATAAATAATTCCGTCATACTTCCAACGGAACAGATCAGGGCGACCCAAAGACAATGACCCAACCTAACTCCGTAAATATGACAATTACAAAATGTGGTTATAGTCGGGAATGCCGCCTTTTTATGTTGTTGTGTGAGGCAAGCTGCTTTTCGTGTCTGCAATTCTTTTGAAAATGTAAGAGATGTTTATAAGATAGAAGAATACAGTTTATCTGTTCATGTATACATAATTGTTCATCTCTTCAAATTATTTAGTACTTTTATATTGTTAATGAATTTTAAAATTATACTTTGCTCATCCTTGAATAAAATAATTTAATCACAGAAATTTGTTGAAATCTATAAAACTCTTACTAAATATGTCTAATCTGAATATTAAAAGAACGTATAATATGGATGATGCGTTCCTTATTACAGGTCAATTAAAGTTGGTCCTTTTCTTAAAGAAACTGCCAGTCTTTTTCATGACACTAAATATATTGATATTGTGAAGATCTTTGTAGTGTGTGTAGAGTTTATTATTACTGTGTGTGTAAACAAATAAGTTTATTCTATATAACTAACAAAGACATTTTGTATCAATTATCAGTATTTTCTAATACCAATTTTGAGCATAGTATATATTTAGAGAAATAAAACATTATAAACTATATTTATAATGGAGTAAACGCACTAATAAGATAATTTTATTTATATCAAATCAATCATTGTTATTACAGAATGTAATTTCACCAACAATTTATGTCATTCTTTTCCTTGTCTAGGATGAAAATCGACACCCATATTATATCAGAAATATGAATTTATGTTCCCCTTCAGTATTCTTACATATAATTCAGAAGTTTGCTATTCAAAAAAGTAACTACATGTTCAGTACACCGTACTGTCTTTGAAAAGCACATCCAATAAAAGAAAATGGGGGTGTTATAAACTTGTTCAGATAATTTTTAGACTTCCTTGTAAATTAAACATAGTAAAAGTAGTCAGTTGGTTAACTACAAACCTGTATAAAATGTCGGATTTTACAGGTGTATTTATATCATATTTATGGATATCTTACACTCAAGGTAAATTACATTTTTATTTTATCTGTAAATAAGATAAGCTGTTATATCATTTTTATAAGCACTGCCTGTGTTTTATGTTTTCTTGTATGGCAGTTGGAACGGTAAAAAATATATGTTTTTCGTCTGTTTGTACATGTATATTAGACGCCACACACGTAACATTAATACATAAAAAAGTCAAAAATAAGTTATTAAAAGTTAATACTAATCTGTAGAATCTAGCAGCCTTAAAGAATTTAAACACAAACTGACTACAGACTACACAATGGTATTTTATCCACGTCGTATATGTTCGCAAAGCAAGTAATTGTAAAATATACATTTAACAATTTATAACCATTTGACAGTATATATCTGTGTAAAAGAGACACATGTTCACATATTTTCTGTATAAAATGATTACATCACTTTATAATCATAATAAGTTGACTGCGCACATAGTATTAATTAACTGTATTACTAGTACAGTGCAACTTTTGAAAACCGAACACCTGTGGGACTAGCCAAAATGTTTGGAATTTGCAAGTTTCCGGAATTCAGACGTTCGGAATTAAGTGATCAAGTAGAAACATTAAACATCATCATGATGAAAGATATATGCATTTATAACATGGCAAAATTATAGAACTTTAAATAATGTTTATAACTACTTTAGATTTCATTATCAACTATTACGGAATTTGTTGTTACAAGAGCATAATGTTTTTAACAATTTATCCTTAATATGTTTTATGTCGTACTGCGATACGAATAAAAGCCCCCGTACAAAAACCCTCCTCTAAAATCGCACCCCCATCAAGTTTACACATATGACAAGAGCCCCCCAATCAGATACACATATAGGACAAAAGCCTCTGCTAATAAAGTTCTCTTCATGTTTGTAACCTTTCATTGTTTTCATGTTTGAATTACAGTTGTGTTTGTTTATATCATTTTTCTTCTGATCATAAGTACCATACTGCAATGCTATCTTTTCTATAATACATGTTTATGCTATCTTTTAATATTTGTGCGTTTAAAGAATATTGTTTTTACATCACATGCAGTGCTAAGAATAATGATCCCTTTACTAAATAAAGTGATGAAAATTACTTATCTAAGACTATTTTGTAAGAAGAATAACAAATATGGAAAGCTACATGTATGAATTTAATATCACATGCATGCGTTATTTCATCTGTTATCATATACTTTGTAATCACTTCAATATGTACATTATTAATAAACATTAAAAACAAATTATTTTTGTTCGAGCTAGTGTGAACCTTTATGAATTTGAGCACCTAGGCGTGTGAAGAAAAGATATTCGTCAGTCTAGTCTATAAAGCTTAGGGGGGCTTTGCACTACAAATTGGTTTGATGGGATGAGGAGGGGGACTTTGTCCTAGATGTATTGTTGATGGTGGGGCTTTCTTCCTACCTGTATATTTCATATGAGGGGGGGGGGACTTTTGTCCAGCATGTCATTTATAGATGGGGGGGGGGGCTTTGCGCGGGGAGGTTTTTTTCCCACACTCTGTAGTTTCTGCTATTAACCTTTTTGTTGTTGTTTTCTTTTTCATCACGTCTTTCTTACTTTCTTACTATTTTTGAACACTTTCATCAAGAGTTTGACATACTTGACAGGTTGTGATTAGATAAATGTAACTATGGAAAATATTGACATTTTGAATGATTCACAATCTCAAGTATAATATTTCTTCACACCTTTTCAATTTCCGGATTGTGGAAGTAAATATGAATTGAGATGGCCAAATTTGTACCAGAAAATCGTTCGGAATTCAGAATTTAGAAGTTGCATAATTCAGAGGTACTAATTACAAATGTACATAGAAAACAGAAGAAGAACTTTCGGGACCCTGCAATTTTTTCAGATTTCAGAAGTTTCCGAATTAAAAAAGTTCAAGAATTCGGAAGTTACACTGTATGTCTGTACTTTTACCTTGTAAATACTCTACATACGCTCTTTATTTTGGAGGAAATGTCAGTAAATATCGTCACAATCTTGGCATAGTTTAAACGTATATTTTTCTGCAGTTGAGAGCGATTTAAATTTTGACTTATGTTAATGAAACCGTTTTGAATATTGTTTTTAATCGTCAATGTAACTGGTAGTGAGTATTTTACATGGAACGTGGATGCTTAAGTGCAATGCTTTTCATATATGCTTATTTATTTTCCAAATATGCTAGCTACTTTTTACTCTCGCAACCGTTGTGTACAGAAATACGTTATGTTTATCTTATGATTGTTTGAGTTATACTTTTTGGTTACATTTTCGACATTTTTTTTCACGGTATTTCGTTTTAACAAAATATTTATTCATAATTACGAAATATAAATTCGTTTTTACACAAAAATGATTCGTAATTACGAAATATTATTTCGTTTTACGAAAAATTATTTCGTTTTTTTTCCGAAATATTAATTCGTTATTACTAAATTATAATTCGTTTATACGAAATATTAATTCGTTTTTACGAAATATTAATTCGTTTTTATGAAATATTAATACGTTTTTACAAAATAATAATCCGTGATTACGAAATATTAGTTCGTTTTTACGAAATTTTAATTCGTTTTTACGAGATATTTATTGTAATTACGAAATATTAGTTTTTTTTAAATGTTATTTAAGGTCATTGTAAGCTTGACAAAAAACCTACTAACCTAACAATCAAAAGGGGTCATTTACAAGCCTAGATCAACCTTGCGATATAAGCCGAATGGTTTTCAAGTTATTATATTTGAATTAAGAGGGTATTTGAGTGAATCCAAAATATCCTTTAATCCCCATTTTCAAATACATATTACCAACAGCTGGCAAAAATCAAAATAGTTTAAGTTTTGAGACAATTAATCTTTTCTGTCATGTTTCTTTTAAAAAGGAACATGCTATATTATTACTTCCTTCTATCTTACAACTTGAACTTGCACGAGACATTTATCGTACTTTTTTTGAATATTTAAATGTATACCTTTCTGTATAAGCTACCTTTCTTCGTGCTCTATGCAAACTATTTACGGTTTAGTTCTTTTTGTATTACTTTTATGTAGAAGTCATTCAAAATCGACTATTTTTATTCCCTACTTCCTTTTGTACACCTAAAATTACACGATAGATTTTGTTAAAGTGTGCCTTATATGATTTATCGCTACCATGGCGTGCTTACTGTTAGTTTTCGCTTAAAGCCATTATTCAGTGTTTATGCTAATTAAAGCTAGGTGTCTGATGCCTTTTTGATCATGTTTGATCATCTGACATTGTATATAACAATTTACACAATGTCTAGCGAGTGTGAACTGTTATGTTATCGAGAT